AAATTATGCATAATAATATTATTTTTTTTAAGTCAACAAATATAATTTATAAGATAATTAACTTTCATATAAAAAAATAACGACATAATTTAATATCTATTTATTTTTTCTTTTACATGAATTTTAATATAAAAATGAATTTATTTTTTAAATTAAATAAATAAATATCATAAATTTAAATTTTTATTCTTATAATTAAAGATGTATTTGCAGATCTATCAATTTGATTAATTCAGAGACATACAAATTTTTTTTTACAAAAGTATCATTATCATAATATCAATATATTTATCTTCATTATAAATTGAAAGTGAAATTAATATCATTAAAAAATTGTAATGATTAATATTATATTAATATTTAAAACACTTCATTAGGACATATTTGTATTTTATAGTTCTAATAATAGAAAGCTCATCAATAGATAATAATAATTTAAGAAAGTTTTTGTACTTGTTCTATTTATAGTTATTTTTAATTATCAATCTTAAAATTATTAATGTTCCAGTTAAAAATAATGTATGGTATCATAAACTCCATTTGAGTCAACCTTGTTTTCCTCAGGTGCATTTGTTTCCTAGTACTAATTTAAAAGATTACTAATTTTGATTTTGATTACGTCAACAGATTCTACGATGAAACTGTAATTAATGTAGTATTTTGTTGATGATGAGAAAGGGCAACGTGGATTTATTGGTTGAAACTTAGTGTCTTATTCTTACAGCTGCTGAGATAATAGATTTATTTGATTCTTTGCTTCCCCTCATAATGTGGCTTTTCATATGTTAGGTGTCTTCTAAAACACCATCACTCTAACGTTGTTAAATGCTAAATCTTCAACAGGGTTTTAAATCTAAGGTTGTTTTTTTCAGATCCATGTAGTGTGTCTTTACTTAGATTCATCAAGTTTTTGTTTTTTTGAGTCGTTTGTTATACACACAGAGTGTTTGTTTATTTGTGCGTGTGAGACTGTGATCTGTAACAATGGCTCCAAGATTGGATTTTTCTAGTTGGTGGATGAAGGATACACAGAAGGGGACACCAGTGGTGGTGAAAATGGAGAACCCCAATTTCTCTGTTGTTGAGATTAATGGTGCAGATGCTGCATTTAGGCCGGTGGAGAAGAATCGTGGCAAGAATGCTAAGCAAGTTACATGGGTTTTGCTTCTCAAGGCGCATCGTGCGGTTGGTTGTGTTACTTGGTTAGTGACAGTTCTTTGGGATTTGCTTGGAGGGATTAAGAAAAGGGTGATTCAGAGACAAGGAGTGGCTGTTGAGAAAGGGAAGTTGTTGTTTAGGATCATTAGTTTGTTTTTAGTCATTTCTTTGGCTGTTTTGGCTTTTGAGGTTGTTGCTTACCTTCAAGGTTGGCATTTTGGGAATCATAATTTGCACATTCCTCATAGTTCTGATTTTGAAAGGTTCTTCCATGTGGCTTATGTTGCTTGGTTGACGTTCCGTGCTGAATACATTGCTCCGCCAATTAAGGCTCTTTCCAAGTTTTGTATTGTTTTGTTTGTTATCCAATCTGTCGACCGTCTGGTGCTTTGTTTGGGGTGCTTTTGGATCAAACTCAGGAAGGTTAAGCCAATAATTAGTGGGGACCCCTTCAAGGTTGATGATGTTGAAGGATCTGTATGCAAGTGTCCAATGGTCTTGGTTCAAATTCCAATGTGCAATGAGAGGGAGGTATGACACCAGACTTCTGCATTCCGTTTGTGCTAACATATGTTTTTATTTATTTTGTTGAAAATAGATTTTGCAAATGTCATAAAAAGATAGAAGAAGAACCAGTTTTTTGCGATTCCCTCAGAAATTTTGTGCGACCTTCTAAACTCAGAAAACAAAGCATGAGTCGACAGTGTTCAGTGTACTAATGTCGACTATTCAGATTATTACTTTTGCTTTCTGTAACACACAGAACCTCTCAATAATTAAAGTACAGAAGTTTTATTCTAGCAGCAGCAGTAGACATTTAGGGAGTTTATCTTCTTTTTTTCACTTTGCACAAACTGACTTTATGCAGGTGTATGAACAATCTATTTCTGCGGTCTGCCAAATCGACTGGCCAAGGGATCGTTTACTGATTCAAGTACTTGACGATTCTGATGACGAGAGCATACAATGGTTAATTAAGGCTGAGGTCTCTAAGTGGAACCAAAAGGGAATTAACATAATCTATCGGCATCGCCAAATCAGGACCGGATACAAAGCTGGAAATCTTAATTCTGCAATGAGCTGTGACTATGTGAAAGACTATGAATTTGTTGCAATATTTGATGCAGACTTTCAACCAAATCCTGATTTTCTTAAGCAAACTGTGCCACATTTCAAGGTTAATTGAAAATCATGACTTTTTAGATAAGTTTATTGGTAAGTGTTTAACATATATTAAGATTTGCATATGACTTTTCTATTACAGGACAATCCTGAACTAGGTTTGGTCCAAGCTAGATGGTCTTATGTGAACAAGGATGAGAATTTGTTGACTCGTCTTCAAAACATAAATTTATGCTTCCATTTTGAAGTAGAACAGCAGGTCAATGGGGTGTTTCTTAATTTTTTTGGTTTCAATGGAACTGCTGGTGTTTGGAGAATCAAAGCCCTTGAAGAGTCAGGAGGCTGGCTAGAGAGGACAACTGTAGAAGATATGGACATTGCTGTCCGAGCTCATCTCAATGGTTGGAAATTTATCTTCCTAAATGATGTAAAGGTGATCATAATTTGTTTCAATCCCTTTTTTATATCTCCTTTCTTTAATGCAGGTAGATTTCAGAGTCTGTTTGAATTTATTTATTTTTAGCTTATCTACTGACCTAAAAACTTGTGAGACTGTTTAGCGGAGGTTATGAAAACAACTTATGACATGTTCATAAGTTGTTTACGACTTGTTTATATAAGCTCCCAAAGAAATTGCTTAAACTCCTTAAATATTTTAAAATTTCAGGTACTTTGTGAAGTTCCCGAGTCATATGAAGCTTACAGAAAGCAACAACACCGCTGGCATTCCGGGCCTATGCAACTTTTCAGACTGTGTCTCCCAGCAATTTTGAAATCTAAGGTATATTCGATACACGGTTTGATGTAACAAATAGAATAGTGATGAGGACAAGTAAGTACTGAGTATTTGCAAGTATTGCTTACAATATGTACTTCCTAAAGGGTCTTAATTTCTCTTTAACTGCAGGTATCACCATGGAAGAAAGCAAACTTAATTCTGCTATTTTTTCTGCTAAGGAAATTAATCCTTCCCTTTTACTCGTTCACTTTATTTTGCATAATCCTTCCTCTAACCATGTTTGTCCCAGAGGCTGAACTCCCTTTATGGTTAATCTGCTATGTTCCGGTATTCATGTCAATCCTGAACATTCTTCCCGCACCTAAATCTTTTCCTTTTATTGTTCCCTACCTCCTTTTTGAAAACACCATGTCTGTTACTAAATTCAATGCAATGGTATCTGGTCTTTTCCAATTGGGAAGCTCTTATGAATGGATTGTCACAAAGAAAGCTGGAAGGTCGTCAGAGTCTGATTTACTTGCTGCTGCAGAAAGGGACACTAAGTCAATAGAACAACAAAAGATCCATAGAGGATCTTCTGACAGCGAACTTGTTGAGTTACACCAATTGAAGGAACTCAAAGAAGCAGCTGTAGAACCTGTTAAGAAAGCAAATAAGATATATAAGAAAGAACTGACTTTGGCATTCCTTCTTCTCACTGCTTCTGTCAGAAGTCTGTTATCTGCACAAGGAGTTCATTTCTACTTTCTGCTTTTCCAAGGGATAACTTTCCTCCTCGTAGGCCTTGATTTGATTGGAGAACAAATGAGCTAGTTAGTTTTCGTTAATAACAGAAGAGAAAAAAAGGTCTATGCTGACGCGGCACAAACACATGCGGTTGCATTCAATTATTATTTGTGGCAACATTTCAGTATCAGTGTTGTGTCCGTGTTTGTATCAGTGCTTCAATGAGCAAACAAAGTCTGGTCTTCTTCATTTCTTTCTGAAACTCTCAGTACATGTCAAGCAAAGATATTTAATTTAAAGTACCAAAACAGGCCTCTCTGTTATTCATCTCTATCCATTTTCATTCATTTCACACGATTCATCACAAGTATTTCTTATAGGACATTGGTCATTGTACTCTTATAGATATTGAATTCTTGTTAATCTGTTTAAACTAGGTGTATAAAAATTCACTTTTCTTCATTATGTTCTTTGGTTGTTTTTGGAATTGAGTTCTGATTCTAGTTTCCTGTTTTACCAGAGTGCATCTTTCTGTATATTCATATTAGTATCTGATATAAACAATAACTTCTACTCCTTCATTTTGTTTCATCACTTTGTTGTTTCTTTCTATATTTTATTGTTATGTTACTAAACAATTCAACTTGTGCTTTAATCTTCTGAACATTATTAAGTATATAAAATAGTGTCGGCAGAAAATAGTAGAGTGAAAGTTTTAGTGGCTTTGACATTATAGTACTCATGTGGCCCCTCTAACCAATTCATGTGTTTAAAATTGATTTATAGTGATTAAGTGAATGAGATTTTCGTAACTGACCCAACATGTTTTTATAGTTTTGACCACTCACTATTATGATTAAGAAGGGGCTTGGCCCATTTCCTTGGACAGATGTCTATCATGATAACAACATTACATCATTTTTTTATCCTCTCATAATCAGCACTTTTAATCTGAATATAATAAAAAAAAGTTCAGGGTAATACTTTAAGCCATCAAATCAAGTAGTCTTCAAAGTGCCACCAAAAGTTCAAATTACAAGACAAACACACAAAAAATCTCTCAAGACAGAAAGTAAATGTATAAATATATAGTGCAGTGTAATATACAAGTGGTATGGTATGTCAAGAAACTCTAATATACAAGAGAACAAACAAGATGTACAAGTTGACAACGCCGCCAACTATGTTAAATGCGACCGTTCATATTTGGACGAGGAACAACGCATTTAACTCTTGAACATTGGCAGTATTGAGCTTAATCATCTTCATGCTCTACTGAGAAATCTGGCTCTTCAGGCTTTTGCAACTTGAGCATCTCTACATCCTTGATCTTCTGAACCCCTTTCCTTGTGTTTGCAGCAAATCTTGAAGCCAATATAGTGACACCGAGATTCTGTTTTACTTGTGCAGTGTTTGAAGTTACTAAGCCGCGCTCTTCTTTCTCGTGTTCCATTCGATTTCTTGCTTGTTCATCGATGAAGGACTTGTATTCTCTCAGACTAAGGCTATTTGCCAAGACTCTCTTCTTGAACCGGCGCCAAGCGACTTGAATGAAACAAGCAGCCCATGTCCTCCAATGGTAAGAGTAGAAACGGAACGTATGCTGCAACTTCTTGCTGTGAAGACGTCGAAACTGATTTGCCACAAATTTAAGATCTTCTGCTCTAAGTTCAAAGGCTTCAACTTCAACAAGGGCTTTAACTGTTCTTGTAGAAGAAGGCAAGTTGAGAGTAGATTTTGGAAGCAATGCCCAAGCAAGTAACTCTTCTCCACAAAAATCACCAGGCCTCAAGGTAATGGAGTTAAAGAAACCAGTTCTGCCACCATTTGTGGTTGAGCTTTCGAGTTTCCCTCTGATGATAAAAAGCATCTCGGTAACTGGATCTCCTTCTCTGACAATGTATGTGCCTTGGGTACTCAAAGATGATGCCAATCGCTCGCATATTGCGTCAAGTAGTTGATCATCCATTTGTGAGAAAAAGGGAACCTGTAATCGTCGGAGAAAGTTATTGAATTGCGTATCATAAACTTCAAGAAACTATTAAAACGTGTATTGCATCAAAGTCACTTTTGGATAAACAACTTAACAACGATTTAAATCAACTTAACAAAGACTAACTGTTCGGAGGAACATACACGTCGAACTAGGTCTAAACAAAGGTGACGCTGGATATCTCTACGAAGATCTGTGGGTAGGCCTCTTAGGATAGTTTCTTCATCAACACCTCGAGTTGCAAGCCATTTATACTGAACAAATCTCCGAACACGCTCTCTAAGAAACTCCGGGAGTTGGCGATGTTTCATCCACTCTTCCGTGTCACGTCTCTTGAGCCTCCACTCTTCAAGCCTCACAGTAATAGATTGCAAATATGTCTGCATTGATCCAAACATTCTTATGTACACATAACAGTTCAAAAACTTGAAATGTTTCAATGCATTATTTTGAAGATTTAGAAATTCTAATTACCTGCATGTTACCAATTAAGTGAGCAAACAAAACCAGACCTAAGATAGCTATGAGTATTGCAAATGCAGTTTCCCAAACAAATGTGCTTGTACTCAAACTCTGGCCATAGGAACTCAAATTCTGCAATCCCCACCACAAGCAATAGAGGTACTTCTCTATAAACACAGAAGACAGAACATTATTTTGAACTGCATTTCCGAAAATTCCATAGTTGAAATCTGTGCTACTTTCAGGATTACAGTTACTAAACACAGAAGTAGTATTCATCCATTTCACGCGACCGGCATCGTTTATACTACTACTACAATCAAGGTAGTCAAGAACACATTTCACAGGTAAGTTTTCATTTCTGCATTCAGATTTCCAGCAAGTCGTGTACCTTTCGATTGACAGCAAATACCATGATGCCCCCAACACCTACAAGCATATATAAGAATTGCTTGTAATAATAATATTGTGAAATATCGAGAAAATGACGAAAGGTTGCGATGATGGAAGAAAAATCGACATACGTGACTAGCTAACATGTAAAGTAAAAGATTATAAGCCGCTCCGGCCCAAGCCGTCTTTGTGACAACTCCAGTAGCTTTAACAATCTGAGAACTTAAAGGGAAAATCATATACAATCGAGGAACATATTGAAGCAGAACAATCAGTACTAGTGCATTGTTGGTATGATCGGCATGAGAGCTTCGAATTGCTGGCATGATAAACCAAATCACAATCTGTCAACAAAGAAAACCAGACATATAACATCTCTTCGAGAAAATATACGAAAACTATAATCGGTATAGTGAAGCAGACGCGGTACCTGAGGAAGAGGCAATGTAGCTAAAAGATCTAAGAAAAACTCTGATCTCAAATAGCGCCTCGCAATTAACCTCAAGTCCATGACAAGCTCGCCTCTTCCAAAAACCCTTGAACTCGGTGACACAAAGGCTGTCCTAAACTTAATGACCATGTTCAGCAGATAGAAAACATCTGCGAATGTCCGGAAACACGTGACAACGATTCCTAAATTCAAATCAGTAACCATGCATGACGAATTCTTATTATCAGTTTCTACTGATACGGACGGGAGATAGAAAAACAACGGATCAACAAAAAGTGATAGTATGGAAGAAAACAAGAAAGCTCGTTTCCACTCGAGAAATAAATCACTTCCCGGATCAAGAATTCTCTTCTTCCATGGTTCATGATTTTCTTGAAAAACCTTTAACTTTCCAAAACTCGGAAACTTGATATTCATTCTGTTCTTATCACTATCAGTATCAATATCAATATCGTTCGGATTAAGAATTTTCTGAAATTTGTAAACTTGCATTGGCTTCTCAAGATTAACCTTTCCATCATTAGAGAACCTGCGAGTTTTCAAAACCATTAATCGAATCAATGCAAAGTCACGATTAGAATTGTAGATAGAAAAAGGCGAAAAATCAAATAGTAGAGACTTAATATACCTGACTAGTTTCTCATTTTTGAGCTCCATTGATAACTATTGTTGAAATGCTCACACCATAATGATGAAAAACAAGCTCTAATGAGTCAACTGTTTCATTTCTGCATTGTTTTTGGATCAACAAAAACGTGTTAAGAATGAATTAACATTGAAAGATGAGAGTTTTGAGGATTTGGACAACATGGGTTTGACTTGTGAACTTAACCAAAAAAACTGCCTCCCACTAACATAGCTGAAAATAGATATATTATAATGCAGAATGGAATTACAATATTAGTTGTTAAATTGTAATTCATAGTGTCGAAAAAATTATATTTGTTTAGATTTAAATAGATTTGATTTAAATTTAGAATAGATTAGATTTGATTGAGTAATAAAATAGATATTTTTGGCTTTGGGTTTAGGATGTAAGATCAATTATAAATAGAGGGAGTAACCCATATTTTTTGTAAGCAAGTCAAGCAAGTCACTCACAGTATTTTGCAGTTGCAAAGTGAATAAGAAAGTTTTCACAGTTTGTGAGCAGAGAGAAACTCTGCAAAAATTATTTGTCTTGTCTTCTTTCTTTGTTTGTCTCATAATTAAATTGTCATTGTGGTAAAAATTCATCATAGATATTTGGTGGATTTCCAACATCTGGTATCAAGAGTTTTGTTTCGATTCGAGGGAAGTATCAATCAAGAACGATTGAAGAATTCACGATGACAAATTATGGGAATGCAAATTATTCAGCAACTCTACCAATTCTGAAAGTAGATAACTATGAGAATTGGTGCAAACAGATGAAAGTGTTGTTTAGGTGTCAAGGGCTTTGGGACCTTGTAAAAGATGAAGTCGAAGCGCTTGGAGAAAACGCTTCATAGGAAGAAAAGAAGAAACACACAGAAATTGAGAAGCTGAGTTATAAAGCACTATTTATAATTCATCAATGTGTGAGTCCAAAAAACTTTGAAAAAGCAAGTGATTCAGAATCTGCAAAAGAAGCTTGGGATATTCTTGAGAAGTCCTTTGGTGGTGCAGAAAAGGTAAAAGAAGTGAGGTTACAAACTCACAAGAGAACCTATGTATTGCTTCAGATGGAAAATAGTGAGAGCATATCTGATTTCTTCACTAGAGTTACAAAACTAGTGATCAAATCAAGGCATGTGGAGAAACATTAACAAAAAGAGTTGTTGTTTCGAAGATTTTGAGATCTTTAGCTCCTAAGTTCGACCACATAGTGGTGGCGATAGAAGAGGGGAAAAACTTGTTGAAATTGACAAAGGAAGAGCTTCAAGGGACGCTTGAATCTCACGAACAAAGAATGATCGAAAGAGCTGCATACAAATCGAAGAGTGATGTGGCCTTGCAGGCACATTCGGCAAAAGAGACCAAAGGCAAAGGAAAGTGTTTCGACAGAGGTAGAGGTGGCTACAACAAATTGAATGGTAGAGGAAACCAGATCGAAGGAAACGTGTCGAATCAAAGAAAACCATACCAAGGTGTTGTACCCCAATTTTTGCCCCTAAGATCCCTTCATCATACCATGTTGATTCAATCACAACAAGATCACATTAGGACTTTTGGTTCTTCTCCCTATCATTTAGCTTTGCTCTTTTTGAGGAATTACCAAGCACCTTAACTTGTTTTCTTTTGTGATCATGAATATTTTGCTTAGATTTTTCTTTTATTAATAAAATGCAATGTGGGTTTGCCTTACTTGTTAATAGTGTAGGTAAAGGCTATGAGGTTTAGCAAGTTGCTCCATGGGTTCATGAGTTTATTTTCATGCCCTAGTCAACATAGCTTGAGGAGTTCAAACCTCACCATTGAAGTTGTTTTGGAAGAAATGGTATGACAAGGCCTATTTTGGTTCAATATATTTCAAAGTTATCAAAATTGATTCAAAAGTACAAGGGGTTAAGGGAAGAAGTTGTCATGATTGGACAAGGTTTTGTTCCTATTAGTCACAAGAGCACATTTCTCTCAAATTTCAAGATATGAAAGTGGTTTTAGTGGCTATGAGTCCTCATCATCATCCTCAACAACTTCTATTCACAAAGAAAGAATGTTGGCACAAGAAGTTTGTTCAAACTTGTCAAAGTTCCTCAAAGCATTCTCTTGATCTAGAGGCTAGGGTTTTGAACTTTAAAGGAGCATATCTTGCTCACCTTTTGGTATTTTTGAGTGATTCCAAAGACATATTTATCTTCAAAGAGTTACCAATAAATCACTTCAAAAGTTCCAAGGAGTTTTCATGTGGAAAAACTTGGTGAAGAAGAAAGATTACAAGTCATCCAGCTAAATCCCCAATTTTCCATATGTGACTTCAAATGGTCATAACTTGGTCAATTTTTATCACCTTGAGTTCATTCTTTTTCCATGATTATCTTGAAGATGTGTACTTTTTCCTTCTTTTATATGAAAAGTGAGAAAATTGATGGAAGTTGCCTTAAGAATACAAAAGATTATAGGTCATTTTATGATTTTTGGCCAACTTCAACAAGTCATAACTTGCTCATTTTTTAGAGGTTTTGAGTGGTTCAAATTTCAAAATTTCATTCAAGAGATCTACTTCATTCCATCTTTTTTGGTCAAGAGAAAATTCTAAGTGGAAGGCCATGTTTGGATACAAAAGATTATAGGTCATTGTTGAAGAAGAATTTGAAATATTTCTAAGTATGGAAAGTCAACTCTTTTTCTTCAACTTTGACTCCATGTAACTTTCAGCTCAAGCATCCATTTGATTCCATTCTTTTTCCATTGCAAACCTTGTAACCTCATCTTTCCAAAGCATCAAGAATTATGCCCTAAGACCCCTTGAGTTGGAAATGCCATGGATTTGAATTTGGTAACTTGAAACTGAATATTTTCACAAAGTCAGGATTTTGAAATCTTTGTTTTGGCTTCTAAACGCTTTGTTTCTGCGTGTTTTTGTTTCTAAACGCTTTGTTTCTGCGTGTTTTTGTTTCTAAACATGATTAGAAACTTGCCAAAAGTGATTAGCATCATGAAACGCACGATTTAGCTGAGTTTTGATAAAAATTCAGTCACACTTTCTTCATGATGCAGACCCACACGAATTCCCTCCAAAACGCATCATTCACTCTTCCTTTTGATCCCATTTGCTTCCCTATAAATAGAGGGTCATCCCCCATCCATTTTTCCAAGCTTAGAGAGCCAAGAACACCCTGCCAAAACTTCACACGAACCCACTTTTGTTGAATTCAGTTTTTGAAATTTAAGCTTCCTTTTCCAAAATTCTTTGTGCATTTATCATCCTTGAGCATCATACAAACTCTCCAGCACTTAAACCAATCAAAACGACCCATAATCCAAGCTACAGAAGTCCAGTTTCAGAGCTTCTTACTTGAACTTCGAAAATGTAGAATTCTTCACCATTTGGATCCAAATCAAACACTAATCTGCTCTACTCCTTTGTCTGATTCTAATGTTGCTTACAATTTTTAAATCCATTGAGAATTGAGAGAGAAATCCCAAATTGAAGGTGCTCGCTATTTTTTGAGTTTTTGATTCATAGCTCTCTCCATACCTTATATAAATTTGGCGCGATGGTTGTGTTAGAATCGTCTTGAAGAGACAAGTTCAATGATGCTAGCCAGGGATCCTAATTTTTCCATTTGAAGGATCTCACAAAATCCCCATTGCAGGGTGTCTGGAGGTTGAAGACGATGACATGTCTCGTCTCAGCCAATGATAGCGTGCCAAGCGTTTTAATTTCATTGGTTGCCCTTTTTCTAATCCCATGTGTATTTCACTAAGGTCCATATCAAGCGCAACGCGTCTGGTCTATTGGATTAGCTTACTAACGCGTTTTGACTATGATCTGATTGTCCACATCTTTTTGGTTTTATTTTATTTTCTGATTTTATATTTTATTTGATTAAATTTTCAAAAATTCACAACTCTTTTATTTTTTATCCAAAAATTATGAAAAAATTTATAAACATACTTTGAATAATTTCTTATATCTTGAATATTTTTTCACATTTTTATTTTAACATTTGGTATTTTTTATATTTTTTGTATTATTTGCTTTCTTTTAATTACTTAAAAAATACTTTCTGACATTTTTTAGTTCTGGAAAAATTCAGAAATATTATTTTGCATACTTTTGACTTTCAGAAAATTTTATGGAATTTTATGTTGAGGTTTACGATTTTTGATCTATTTTATGTTTGTTTTAGCAATTTTAAATAGTTTAAAAAAAGTTTTTGACTTTTAAAAATCACCAAAATTTTTATAAAAATATTTGGATCCATTTCTGATTTTTCTATGGCCTTATTTCTCATTTCTTGATTAATTTGAATATAATTGATATTTTTCCTCATTATTTTCTATTTTTAAACATTTTTTAACCCTTTTATTGTATATATCAAATATATTATTATTTTGTGATTATTTTCTGGCTGTCTTGAGTTGATTTTTTGATCATGACTTTATTAACATTATTAGATCTTGGGTGTTGAGTTCAACTCCACCAAAATGGATGAATGATTTTAATAATAGTTTGATTAAATTTTTAATTCAAAAGTGGTTTATTCCTCTTTTTGTCCTAATCCTCTTCATCTCATCCCCTTCTTATTGCTCTAAGTGTTGTTGAAGCATGATCTCTATATCATGTCTCAAAACAAATGGTGCATAGATTTCTATTGACCGACCTCAAAATAGGTGCGACTTCTATATAAGTCCACTTACGATTGCTTAACATAGCGCTAAATTTTGTCCCGATTCAAATAAATGATCATTCGTGGCCCAAACTTATGATTGCAAGCCCAAGTATGTTAATTTGATCTCTTTGATCCAATAACCTTGAGATTCATTGTGTGGAGGCTTTGGTTCTACCAATCCTCTAATGGATCTACAACACCTTTGGTCAAGGCGGATCACTTAAACATCGTTGATCATTAAATGGGACTTGTGAGAATTCCAAATGGATGATATACTTGACAAAAAGCAAATACAACTTGTTGTGTGGATGCTTTGGTTCTACCAATCCTCTAATGAGTTCCAAATGTAAGTTTCAAGAT